TTAAAAAAAAAAAAAAAAAAAAAAAAAAAGGGTTTTACAAAAAATATAAAAAAACAAAAAATGTCAAAATATGAATGAATAGGAAATAATTAAAGCAAAAAATAAAAATGAAGAAATCTTAAAATATATGAATGTGAATAAAGAACACAGTAACATATTGAGGATAAGAAGGTAATATATTTTTTTACATTAGATAATTTTATGATATTTATTTCAATATTATAAAATATATATCTCATATTATTTTAAAAATATACTAATGTTTTTTTTCATTATATATAGAGAGATGATTAATGAATATAAAAATAATAAATTAAATAATGCAGATATTTCATTAATGATACAAGAAAAAAAAAAATTTAAGAAACTTTTGATATACTATATGTTATATAATAATTACCTAAAACTAAATGCATCTAATATCTTTGAAAATGCTAGTAACATATATGCTACTATATCAAAATTGAGGGAAGCAACTGTGAGATAAAAAAATAAATAAAAAAGGAAAACATAATGAACCAAAATAAAAAAAATATATATATATATATATATATATATATATATATATATATATATATATAAACTCATCAAAAGTTTTAAGAAAAGTTTAAATATGCAAAAAATAAAATTGAATGTAAAATAATTAATTTTTTTATTTAATTAAAAACTTAAGGGAGTTACGGATATTTATGATATAAATCAGAAATTCTTAGACATTGAGAATAAAAAAAATTTATTACAGAAAGAAGAAGAAATATCACAAAAAAAACTTGAAGTAAAATATATATATCTATTATTGTCTTTTTTTTTTTTTTTTTTTATATTTATAAAAAAATTATTTTAGATATATATTTTATTCTTTTTTCTTTAACTTTTTTCTTTTTTTTTTTTTATATTAATTAGGATGCTATTAAAGAATATATGAAGTTAAATAATGAAATTATAAATACCTTCTCAGAAGATAAAAAAATTCTTAAGAAAAAAATTCTAAATGTTATAATAAAAATAGACAATATAAATATATTTTTTATATTTATAAAAATTTTTTTTTTTTTTTTATCTTAATTGTTATTAGGAAAAAGAAAGAATATCAGAAGATATATATGAGCTCTATAAGCTAGTTTTTTCAAGGTGTTTTTTTTTTTTTTTTTTTTTTTTTTAATTTTTTTTTTTTATTTTTTTT